GTTAAGAAATGATTAAGACATGCTCAATGCCCCATTAGTTAGGTGGAATTTTAATCATCATCTTAAATTTTCCTCTGGGGTTCATCATATTTATGCAGATACTAAATATCAATTAAAATACGTAATATTTCTTGCACTGTACACACAAATACTAAACATTAAATCATGAATCGAAATCCCTTCTTATCAAAATATGAGCATTAATTAACACATTTTCTTCTAAAAAATAAGATTTCAAAGTAAGCGACTGAAAGAACCATTCAATATTTAAAGAAAAATTCATTAACACGTAACTTATAGGTTGGGCACTAACTTTACCTGAGAATTCCTGCACATTTCTTGCAATCTGGAGTTAGCGTCAACATCCACCGCAAGTGAAAGTATTTTAGTAACTCTTCGTCACTTAGTCCCGAATCACATAAATTTAATCCAGTGGGCAAAGGGTGCAAAGTAGACATTTCCCACTGACTAATTACAATGTTAAGAAAGATTGGGGGGGGGGGGGTTGAGTGACCACAGCAGAGTTCGTTGCAGAAGGGAATCTCCGAGAAGAACTATGACAATTTTACAAAGTAGACATTTCCCACTGACTAATTACAATGTTAAGAAAGCTTGGGGGGGGGGGGGTTGAGTGACCCCAGCAGCGTTCGTTGCAGAAGGGAATCTCCGAAAAGAACTATGACAATTTTTAGTGTTATACTATAAGGGGGTGTTAGCGGCGGAGCGTCCCTGGCAAAGGCCTAAAAGCTATGCCACGTATGGAACAATACTGTAAGCAAAAACAAAATTAATTAAATGACTGAAGATTTGGAAATTCAACTTGTTGAAAAGCCCAACTCAAAAACATTCTCAGTGCAACTGGATGAATTAATTTTGACAGACAAGGAGGCCGTTCTGATAACTTAATATATTTTGATCAAGGAAATTTTACGGAAGAGATATTCTTCTGTAAAATAGAAAGCACCACGACTGCCAAAAATTAATATAATATGCTAAAAATTACTTAGATGTAAAAGAGATACCAAAAATTATAATAGAATATCTTGTGCTATAGATGATGCACCAAATATTATAGACAAAAAAATGGCTGTCTTAATTTTATTTTAAAAAATGAATAATAAATGAAATGATAAGTAATTAACATATTTTAGAAAAACTTTCATTTTGTACTTGAATTACAATTCTCCTTTATATGTTTTAAAAATATACTTACTTTTTTTTTCCTTATTCATTCCTAATAAATTTTCCTTCTTCCTAAAACTTGTCCTTTAGTTTACATTAGGGAGATACATTTCAATGTTGGAATATAAAATTATATATATATATATAACTTAAGGGGCAATGACATTTTAGAAAGACTTAGGTGGGGCATGTCACAAAATAGCTTGGGAAACACTGTTCTATACCCCTTTCATCCACCACTCAACTTGCAAACTATTTATCCGTCCTTCCTCCGCCTCTCACCGACTTTATCCGAACTAACTCCCATCCTCAATATTGATAATGGTATTTTCATTAACTTAAGCTCATAAGTATATTGCACGTAACAAAAATCTCTTTTGGAAAACTATTTTACAACTTAAGAAAAAATGGGAAAATCAAGCTGCTAAAAGACTGAATACAACATAGCACTTCTAGTAAACAAGCAGAAATAACGGAAATCAGTGTTACCTTAAAAGATAAGCTGCAGGCAATGCTAGGCCACATAGATTATGACTTGATAGAACAAAAATTGATAAACAGAAAGTTGTCTGTAACATTCAAGTGCAACCTGGTAAAAGAACGTAGAAGCCTAGTCACAAAGATTGGCTCTCAGTCAACACGTTGCAAAAACGAAACAATAGGGAAAAAAATGTAGTGAGCAGTTAACAACAGGCGCACAAAGACAGAAAAAAACAAAAGCAAAAAGAGAAATATAAAAACTAAAATCGAAGGGTAAAGTACAGCATATAAAAGGCTTGAAGATTGATAGATGGTCCAACATCAACAGCAAAAAGAGCAGCCAGAAAGGAAAACGTGTAAGAGCCTTAGGGCATAACAAGAAAGCCCACTGGAATATACAAGAGTAAAAAGACACCGGTTAAAGACAAGTAAGGTGAACCAAAAACGGAATGGACAGACCAAGAAAAAAGTTTTGTGTAATTATTTAAGGAATAACTAAACAAAACTCCACCAACAGACACACCAGATATACAACCAGCAAATGAAGGTTTACAAATTGAAGACAGTGCTTAAAAATAAGGAGACATAGCCCTGGCATCAAGACCGGATAACATCACAATGCTGCTCCCTCTTTTTGAAAGGCGGTCGAAAGAAGTAATAATTTAAAAGATTGGACACAAAAATACCTCGATAAAGCTACCAAAGGGTATCTCAGCAACTGAGCAATCTACAGAGGATTTACACTGCTGTCAGCACCAGGGAAGGTCTTTCTAAGAATTATGCTGAATAGACTGAAGAAAATGGTCGACTGACAGCTATCAGATAAACATCCTCGCTTCCCATTAAAAAAGAAAAAAAGATCAGATCAAATTGCAGTACTACGATGCTCTGTAGAGCTGTCCATCGAATGGAACTCCCCAATTTTTATAAATTATATCGACTACGAAAAGTCCTTTGATAGCCTGGAACGACAAGCCTTGTGGAAACGTCTCTGAAATTATGGGATACCAGGAAAACTAGTCAAGACCAACAAGAGATCTTATGAAGAAATGACCAGCAGCGTGGTACAAGAAGGAAGTCTCACAGATGACTTTAAAGTGTAAACAGGTGTCCGACAATGATTTCTCTTGTCCCACTTGCTATTCATCCTCTCCAGTGACTGAAAAAGGGACCAAATCGACCGACCAAAAGAGGAACGGGATATAGGGAAAACCATGGGAATAATGAATGACCTCGACTTTGCAGATGACATTGTACTTCAGTCCCAAAGGCAGCACGAAATGCAAGAAAAGAATGAAGATGTAGCCACCATTTCAGCACAGCTCGAATTCAATGTAAATAAAATCAATAAAAAGATCATGAAGAAAACTCAGCCAATCAAAAGCATATCTCTCTGTTAGGAAATGCACTGGAACAAGTGGATGCGTTCACATAGTTAGGCAGCACCTTTGACAGAAATGGATGTCAGGGCAAGAATTATTACAGCTATTTCAGCATTTGTGGTAGTAAAAAAAAAATATGGAAGTCAAGGGAGTTGACTCGACAAACCTAATTCATAATTTCAACATAAATGTTAAAACAGTCCTACCCTATGGACACGAAACAAGGAGAGCCTTTTCAAATAAAATTACCGTACGCATGAAAGTGCAAGTCATTTTTTTTAAATTTTTAAATGTAAAAAAATATTAATATTTCAATTAACTAATAAAATTAATATAATTTTAATGTTCTGCGATAGCCCACTGGAAATATTTTGTTTAAAAATCCAATAGGATATGAGAATCTAATTGATGGCGCCGATGAACTATCGAGGTAAATTTAAACTCATTCATGATATCCGTTTGCGAACTATGTTCACATCTTCTGATTTTAAATAGTTTTTGGTTAAAAATTAGGGCATACATTTGAATAATTGATAGACCCATTACCTTCTTGCTGTCCGTTCACAAACCAAACAAAAAAAGTGTTTATGTATCGCATACAATCAAATTTGAGTTTTGTCACGACCAAACACCCATCAAGAGTCCCCATACATCTTCACCGTTGTGACGTCGTTGTTATTGTATTGTTACAAGTGCGTCCCTTTGGTGTCAATACGTTACGCCCATGACACTGAGTTGAGATGTGAGGGGCCATGTTGTTGTTTTTTTTTTACCTGTTGCTAGTCCTTCAATATCTAGACATCAACCTGAACAGAGGTGTTAGTTTTCCTTCTGATGGACATAGTAATGATAAATATAACATTCACTATTCCCTTAAACACCCAAAAAATATTTATTTTTTTCTTTACAGCGGATTTCGGAAAAATATTTTTTTCCATTTAATATAATAGCAAACATAATTCAACGACATATAAAAATGCTAAGTTTCATCACTTAAAAAGCACCAATTTTAAGATCTTGTTATTTAAAAAAATTAAGGATTTACTTTGTTATTTAAATGTCCATTCTGTTTTAATAGAGAAATTTTCTTTTAATCTTCTAAAAAAAGAAATTGTTTATATTGTAAATCGAATTAAAATTATGTTTTATCAATTTATCTTTTAAAAGTACATTAGCATTTTGTATTATAATGGTATTAACCTGTTTCAATAAACACAGTAAGAGTTAGTAAGAATGAAACCGAAAGAAAGCTATATCTTATTTGCAATTATTTAAAAATATGGGGGGGGGGGGCATGGCTATATGACTTAAGAGTATGCCACGTTCAATTGTCGTTACTCAATCTTTAAAACCTAGCTCCCTGGACTTGCACAATTCTAACATCTTTAGGTAGTTGAAATCCAAGTGTTCAGCTCTCATTCTGATCAGTATTTTATTTTAATCAATATCTTCAATGTCTATAAATATATATTATTACTTAATACACATAATATATTTGGGGGTCGCACGACCCTTTCACTGGAGTCACCTAAGACCTTCAGAAAACACATAGGCTCTACAGTTATAAGGTATCAACAAAATTAATTTAGTGGTTGGGCGTCGCCACAACATGAGGAGCTGTATTAAAGGGTCGCGGCATTAGAAAGGTTGAGAACCACTGATCTAACGGATGAACTAACCATTTATTATCTATGTTTTTTCTTTCAATTATAATTCCAACAGTTCTCTTAGTGGATCTAAATATTAACAAGAAATTGGGTACTGTATAAAATGTAAAACGCAAATCCTACTTATCATACAGCTTTTAAAAAAAAATAATAATAATAATTTTTTGAAACACTTCACGTTAAACATCATCATTACTAAATAGCAGCTGACACTCGAGTCGTGACTCATGTTTGGATCATCCAAAAAGTTGAAAGTCTAAGTGTGAGTCAAGGCATAAAGAAGAAACAACCGAAACAAACGTTGAAATGACAGGGGGCCAGTTTGTGGACAAGGCAATCATTATAAATATTGTTAAAACGTCTTGGGAAAAATAGTTGATCATTAACATTAAGACAAAACAGTGCATCATGGTTAATTTGAACGATTGATAGTGCAAGCCAATGCCAATGTTTCGTGCGAATTGTTGACATGGAATTTAAACAAAAAAAAAATTGATCTAGGTTATCAACGACTAGCAGAGTGAGTACTCTTGGTTTATTTCTTAATATTTTCGTGTGTAAACCACCACTGGGTGGAAAGGATGTATAATGTGCTATTTGTCAATGCCTTCTCTTAGTGTAACAGATTGGCGACATCATGGCCCCCTCTCAGTTTTATCGTTAGTCTACTTCTGTATTCAAATCTGGCATATTAATTTTGAACCACTTCCTTAAGACCAAATGAGATGAAAAAAAAAAAAAAAAAAAAAAAATGGTTATGGAATTGGTGCACTTCACTTTTATTAATGATTTTACGGTTACAACTATGAAATTTTGAGGGACATTTATTTTAGTACATATTTGGAAAAGCATATTTGTTCAATATTATTATATTTTTTTTTTAAAATACATATATTATTTTTTTTTTAAATTTAAATCTTGGAGTGATGTATTTTTACATCAGAAAGTGGGCTGAGACCAATGAATAAAAATGTTATGGCACCCATCAATTGCAATGTCTTGATAGGTCAGTGGTGACCTGTTTGTGGTCATTTTTTTTTTTTTTTTTTTTTTTTTTTTTTTTTTTTTTTTTTGTTCTCATCGTTGATCGTTATAGGTAAAGAGTAATCCGGCATAAGGAGACGCTGAAGAGAAAGCACGATGTCTCAATCCCTTTCCGTTCCTAAGATATCCGCAGAGGTCACAAGGGTCAGTTTTAGTGACTCATGACCTGATGATCGTCGTGTGTTGTATTGCCTTCCAGGGTGGGTAAGTTTAAAAAGTTTCAGCTCCTTTGGTAATCAGGTAACCGGCCAAAAAATGAGATGCACTATAGAGGTCACTCTAGGGTGCGGGGAATCACTGTGTAGCTTCTCAACATGAAGGACTTTATTTTCGTTCTAGTTGGGTAAGTAGGCCAAGTTTAAGCTCATTTGGACATCAAGAAGTGGGTCAAGCTTGAGCTGCAATTTAGAGGTCTATCAGGGATAAATGGAGAAAACTGATAACCTGGGTATCATGAATATTTTTATGGTCATCTGTGGTAGGCAATTGTACACCGGTGGAATTAATTTGACGTCAGAATGGGAATCAAATTTGAGATGCTTGATAAATGTCTGTGAGTGGTAAGTGAAGGTCATTATATCCCACTAATCATATTTTTTTTTAAAGTAGGTGTTCAACATTTAAGCTTGAATGGACTCGGGAATTGAGTCATCAAAGATACAAACAAACAAACTCTATGATAAAACAAACTATAAAAACCATATAAAAAATACAATTTAATCAACGAAATTTATTTTAATTTAACTTTTGATTTATGTTGACATCACTGCTGTGAATCACAAAGTGTGTAGCTATGACGCTGTGAATCAAGAAGTGAGTAGCTCTGACGCTGTGGCACACGAAGTGAGTAGCTATGACGCTGTGAAACACGAAGTGAGTAGCTATGACGCTGTGAAACACGAAGTGAGTAGCTATGACGCTGTGACACACGAAGTGAGTAGCTGTGACGCTGTGAAACACGAAGTGAGTAGCTATGACGCTGTGACACACGAAGTGAGTAGCTCTGACGCTGTGACACACGAAGTGAGCAGCTATGACGCCGTGACACACGAAGTGAGTAGCTATGACGCTGTGACACACGAAGTGAGTAGCTCTGACGCCGTGACACACGAAGTGAGTAAATCTGACGCCGTGACACACAAAGTGAGTAGCTATGACGCAGTGACACACGAAGTGAATAGCTATGACGCCGTGACACACGAAATGAGTAGCTATGACGCTGTGACACACGAAGTGAGTAGCTGTGACTATAATTTAATTTTTGATAAATCAAAACACCAGAAAAGTAAACAGTGACAACAAATTTAACAAATCACTTCGACAAGGCCACTTTAACATTTATATTCTTTTTTTTCAGAATTTTTAAGAAATAGAAATTTATACTGCATTTTCTCTCTTTTCTTTTTTATGGCACATATTTTTGACAACAAATTTAACAAATCACTTCGACAAGGCCACTTTAACATTTATATTCTTTTTTTTCAGAATTTTTAAGAAATAGAAATTTATACTGCATTTTCTCTCTTTTCTTTTTTATGGCACATATTTTTGATGCATTTAAAAAAAATGATATGTGTTTATTTTAATGGAAAAAAAAATCAGTATCTGAACAAAATAAATAATAGAGGAAGGTAATTTTTTAAAATTAAGCCGTACTTCCGCCCGAAAAAAATTAATAGCAAAGAAACACTGTGTTTATGAACAAAACAGAAACACTTAATTTACGCGGGCGGAGATCGTGTGGATGCGTAAACGATTAGCAAGACAACAAGGTCAATATGGTGACTTATTCCCCTTGCCGATACGTTGACCGTGCCGGCACGCTCTTGAACGATATTTGTGGCATTGCCTACCGTTTCCAGCAGATTTCTTTGTTTTCACGCGTTGCCAGTAGGTGCGTGACTGCTACAAGAATGTATCGGCATGTTCACTTGTCATCTCTTTCTTCTCCAACTTTTTGTCATGGTCAAACTACGGTAACCGTTTCCAGCAGATTTCTTTGTTTTCACGCGTTGCCAGTAGGTGCGTGACTGCTACAAGAATGTATCGGCATGTTCACTTGTCATCTCTTTCTTCTCCAACTTTTTGTCATGGTCAAACTACGGTCCGCGGTCCAGAAGCAGATTGTCGAGGGGTCCTTAACCCGGCATATTTGACTGTCTTACTGGCACCCTGGTAGCAATGACAATAACAAAGTTAAACCGGGCATTGGCCAAAATAAGCTCAAACTTACCATTGACGTACTAAAAAGCTTTATGTTTATTGACGGATATTTTTTTTTTCAATGTAATTATTGCACTGCTTCATCCTGTTTCTTTATTATTCTTTTTTTTTTTTATTTCTTTCTGTTCACTACAAAATGCGAAATGTGCAGTTGGTTTAGGAATACGTTAAAACTTTAGATTGGAACAGAAGCTGAGGGACAGTGGAGCCAGCCCTTGACTAAAAAAGGGCCCCCGAGTCTGTGTTTTCAATCAGACTTACCAAGGTGGAAAAATAAAACTATTCATAAAGTATACACGTTTACATGGGGAACAAAATTATGTTTTAGTTAAAATGCCGTTAGACAATTAAGCTTCAAAAACAAATGATATCATTTTTTTTTTTTATTTGTAATAGTTCTCTGGGAATTTACTTCAAATAAGCATGATCATTAAATTCGTCAACATAATATTTTTAATGAACGCGTTTCAGATTTTAAGAACCGCGATAAAAATATTCCCGGCCTGTTGGAAAATACCCAAACGGCATCATTGAGTTAGAAGAGGTAACTCTTTGAATGTAGGACACATGTTGCTTCATGTGGTATTTATCTGTAGGCAAAAAGCACTAAGGTTAAAAAAGGTGCCCATCTCCTTGTTTATCATTTAGAATTTTCATTAACATTATCTTAATTTCTTGGTGACTGGTTTGCCCAATGGTCTAAACTAAGCAAACCTCAAGCTGGTGGTTAAATTCCAGCCAAAGGTCAGTCAAGCTAAAGAATCACCCCGTGTGGTTGAGACTGGTTGACCTTGGTTGGCAACTCATCTAAGAGAAGGAAACTGTGAATTCAAACCTGGAGTTGGAGCCCCGTAACGCGCGTATAACGACAATTCCTGCAACAGCACCCATCATTAGTCGTCTTGAAGTAGAGTCTTGCCACTGGATATGGTGGGCCCGGATGAGAGAGTGAGGCTGACGCCACGCAACTCTTCCTCACTTTAAACAAAAGTCACCCGCGCAAGTCACTCGATGGTCATCGTCGAGCTTTGACGGACGAACAATAATATAATTGGTTGGTTAGCTCTTTAAACTACACATTTCCTTTTTCGTCTTCAACTAGCTCAGGAGTCCCCCAAATGTTTTCACCGCAGGCAGGATAACTTAGAAAATAACGAGCGTGGGCTCTGTAATAATTATGTATAAGACTTGCAAGCCAGAACGAAAGCTCTGGGTAAAAAGACGAAAAAACTAAGTTTAGTGTTTCATGTTCATCATGGCTGAGTGGTGTGCAAGGAATCAAAACAAAAACTACCAAAAAAATGTAATTACTAAAAAAAAATTACAAAGAAAGGTGACGTTAGCTAAGAAGATAGTTACCTCAGACCTAGAGCGCACATATACGAATCTCACAATCTAAGCAGCTAAAATATTGGGGACATTTCTTCTTCTTCTTTATTTTGAGGGCCCACGATCAATGAATTGATCATTCTGACGTTTGCCTTTTAAGTTATGATTAATTTTTTTGTTTGCAATCGCTGCATCCAATCAAGAGGATTGCTTTCAAATATTCATCAGCCAATCTCTTTCGAGGTGTTAACTTCACATATTTCAGCTTTGAACATTTTTTAAGATCTGAAAATCTCTCCAAAAAATTGCTTCTTCAAGTGGCGATTAACTTTTTTAGGAAAATCATCTTCGTCAATTGTAGCGCAAATCTTGAGGAAGCAGTGAAAATGAGAAAATGTTTCTTCTTCAATTCGTACTTCAATGACAGACTTCTCCAAAATCCTTTGGTGATTTTGTATAGATGACAGATAAGGTTATCCTTTACCTAGACATTCAAGTTCTCATCTCCTCACATTTTAACATAATTTTAACATTGTACCACAACGTTTCATATTTGATACGTTGTATCAAGCCATTTTAAGTACAGTCGGTGGCTCGGATGAACTGACGTCACGGGCTAGATCAGTCCCACGGGCTGTAGTTTGGTGATCCCTGATTTATAGCAATTGGATTAAATCTTTATATGAATTCTTCTATGTTTTCGAAGCCATTCAATTTTCTCATTGTAAGTTCATTGATGCTGGCATCATGTTTTTCTCCTATATGATACGCTTGACTGACATCTCTTTTTTTTTTGACTGGAATGAAGTATGAAGTTAAATTTTTGTTTTCTCTTTAAACACTGTTTAAGTAAAATTTATGAATTTATGAACACGCGGAATATGAAAAAAAAGATTATATCATCCATCCGTCACAATGTGTCGATGGTGTAGACTTCCTAGGACGAAACCAAAAGGCGTGGGGATGTTTTCTTTAGGAGGTTAAGCTGGCTCCATAGACAACACAACGGCTTCTTCACGTACCTGGATACCACAGTGGGAAGATAACAAGCGGTTGATACAGTTTGAAAATAGTTCAACTTTCAGGTCGTTTCTGTAACTGTTTGCAATCTGCACTCTGCTTCAAAAATTCTTTTTAAAAATACGAAAGTTTGTCTTTTTATATTGAAAAAATTATGTTTAATGCGAGTTCTTTTTTTTTTCTCATCGATCTCGTGACATTTACTTCTATAGGTGTTGTGTTATTCGTTTTATTAGCTCATTATAATCTCCTTATTTTAATGATTGAGCTCATCTAGTAACGAGTTCATCTCTCTTGTCTTCCTTTTCTCGATCATTCCTCTCTATTCCGTTTTTTTTTTCTTTTCTTGTTTACGTTCATCTTTTTTTTTTCAACATATGTCTTTAATTCACCCCTCCTTTCTAAGCCCACGACTTTGCTAATCTCTATCACGTCAGTGGGAAATTCTTTTTCTTTTCAAACGTATGTTTTCCCGTATGTGATGTTACATGGACATTATAGTGTATTATGTGTTTAAGTTATATATTTAAAACAAGCCATTCAGTTTTTTAAAATCAAATGAAAAAAAACAAAAAACAATGCACACGAGAGAGGGTATACATGCAAATACGTTAAAAATGCTAAATGAAAAGTGAATGGATTAACAGTGATGTTTGTAAACAATAACATATATCACACTCGGAGGACTAGATCAAAACAAGACACTATTGGTGAAAGATTGATAGGAGAAACAACAACAGAAATCAGGACAAGTAATAGACGGCAAAGCCGATTGTTGATGAATGATAAAACAGTCATGAATGATTAAAATACTATAATTTGCACGTAGGCTAAACAGAAATAATAAAATAATAATAATTTTTTTATATATGTATTCCATTAAGTTTGTTTAATTTATTATCAGCAATAAGCGTTGTGGAAGATTTAATTTGAAAAAAAAACGGACCTTTTGACATACACTGATGAGAAAAATTGAGAACGCTTCCACATATGTAATAACTGCTTCAAAGTTTCTAAGAAACGACTAATCTTATCACAATGAAATGTATCAGAAATATATCACAATCACAAATTATTGGCTGTGTTTCTTCTTTAACTTGGCCATAGACAGAACGTTGTTCATAATGACAAGTTTAAGTAAGCAATAATTTTCAATACACCTGTAAGAGTCTTTTTAAATTTTCTGAAATATCATTGTTATGTGTATTCATAAAATAATAGATTTCTATTTTATTTTAAGTTCCATAACTCAATACGTCACAGAGAAAATAAACAAATCTATTTACAATTGTATTTGATTAAGAAGAGTAATTTAAATTGGTTTACACAAACAAGTAAGCTGTCTCTGCTTAACAATCACACCAGGAGAAAAATGTCTCAAATAATTTTTTGTTATCTTATATTACAGATAATCAGGTGATCCAGTTACACCAGTTCTCTTCAAATCCTATAAATATAAAAGATACAGAAAATTGTATCTGATGGATCTTGCAACAATGATTGTGCTTTCGAAATCAAACAGGCATTTGTCTAGGATAGACAAAGAAACTTTTCAGTATTTTTATTTCATAAAGTGGCTTTTCCTATTGATCGCTATTGGCGTTTCTAACTCAAATGCATCATTTCTTCAAAACTTCTCAACACGAAACTTTCAGCAGCCCTCTCTATACAACACGGCTTCAATAGAAAGAAGAGACAATTTTAACGTTCATCTAGAAAAAGATGTGGACAGTTTAGGAAAACAAATTGCTAATCAAAGAGCAACATATGATAAACAAAATGTATCATACAACTTGTGCAAGAAAATGAACGATATAAAATGTCAGGAAATTGTGTTTAGAAGCAACCTGCAGGCAACAAGACAGAAGGCGAGCGCTCTTCAAAAACTCAGGAGACGCCTTTTCACACTCGGTCCGGTGAATTCTGAGGTCGCCAAAAAGAAGCCAATTAAACAACGCATTAAACCATCATCAAAACCGCGTACAAGAAGACGATCCAAACTCAACCGAAACAAAAGGGCCGCAACGGCCGATGAGTCCAGACTCTGGGAACATGCAACGATCCCTTACGTGTTCGACACAGTATTCTCTGGAGAGGACAAACTAAAAATAATGCTGGCCATGAGCATGTGGGAAAACGCTACTTGCGTTATTTTCAAAGAAAGAGAAGCGTCTGACAAGGACTATTTTATGTTGACCGTTAAAAACTGCAGTTGTTGCGCTGATGTCGGGCGAAAATATAACGGCTCGTCAGTTTCTCTTGCCAAAGATTGCATGATCACAGGTATCATTCTGCATGAACTGGGCCACATTATTGGATTTTGGCACGAGCATTCGAGACCCGATAGGGATGAATATGTTAAAGTGTTTCTAAAAAACGTCATTAACAACACGGAAGAAAACTTTAAAAAGATGGAACCAAATGAAATCAATTCACTTAATGAAACGTATGACTTTGACAGCATCATGCACTACGGCCGAACCAAATGGACTCGCAACCCTTACTGGGACACAATATTCCCCAAGTTTCTTAACGTATCAGCCCTGACACACGGCATGGGGCAAAGATCTCATCTAAGTCCAGGAGACATTCGCCAAACGAACAAGCTCTACAAGTGTGCCTCGTGTGGGCGGACGTTCCAAGAAGAGAAAGCGACCTTCAGTCACAAGCCGACTGCTGGCAAATCAGAAACGTGTCACTGGCGTATACGAGTGGCCTATGGGGAGAGGATCGTGCTCAACATCACCGCACTCGGAATCCCGAGATCTGCAAACTGTGTCAACGGTCACGTCGAGGTGAGAGATGGCCCTAACTCCCAGTCACCTCAAATAGGACGCTTTTGTGGGGAGGATTTGCCTGGTCCTTTAAAATCCTCTGGACGAAGAATGTGGCTTGAATACAAAACTTTGCTCGGAGATGGCTCTGGATTTACTGCACATTACGTTACAGAGTGCGGAGGTGAAATAAGCAGTGGGGAAGGTGTCCTCGCAAGTCCGACTTATAATGATAAATATCTTCCTAATCTTGATTGCTCGTGGAATATCACAGTAGACCCGGGATACCTCATAGTTCTGTCCTTTGAGTCCTTTTACTTGGAGCATGATCTCAATTGCGCTTTCGATTACCTGGAAATCATGGAAGGATCAAAAGAAACTGATCCCTTAATTGGCAAATATTGCGGTTGGTCTTATCCGAAAAAGATTAAATCAACTGGAAATCAATTATTTATCAGGTTTGTAAGTGACAATGAAACACAGAGAAGTGGCTTTTACATTCCATTCGTTAAGAAAATCGACGAGTGTAACAATGAGATACACGAGTGTGACCAAGTATGCATCAACACCATAGGGGGTTACAGATGTGAATGCATTCTAGGGTATGAGCTCAAGCCCGACAACACCAGCTGTGAGAAGGCATGTGGCGGTGTTATTGAGACACCCAACGGGACGATCTCATCGCCACTTTTCCCATACCCATATCCCCCGGATAAGACTTGCGAGTGGATCATCGTTGCCCCACACAATCATACGATCGTGCTTACGTTTACGCACTTCGACCTGGAACCTTGGCGAGGGCATTGCTCCGATTTCGTAAAGGTGTATCCAGAAGGAGGGGCGAGAAAATATAACAATGTCATGCACTGTGGAGATTCGATACCCACGCCTATAACAGCAAAAGGAAACAAGATGAAAATTGAGTTCAAGTCGGACAAATACGATGAGAAATCGGGGTTTTCTGCTTTTTTTGTCTCCGATGTCAACGAATGTGAGAACAAAAATGGCGGCTGCCATGATATTTGCACGAACACGGTAGGAAGTTATTATTGCTCGTGTCGAAACGGCTACATTCTCCAGTCGGATCAACGTGGTTGTGTTGAGGAATGCTTTTCACAAATCAGTGAACACAATGGCACGATAACCAGTCCGGATTTTCCCGAAGACTACCCACGAAACACGGAATGTGACTGGCTACTTATTGCACCACTGGGACACAGGATACGTCTTGCCTTCCAATCCCTATCCCTTGAACATCATCAAAGCTGTAAGTACGACAGCCTTACAATTTTCGACGGCGACAATAGAAACGCCAGTGTGATTGATCGCTACTGTGGTTCAATTTTCCCGGAACTCATTATTTCCAGGTCAAACAATATGCTTGTTTCTTTCACGTCTGACTCGTCGGAGCAAAGAAAGGGTTTCGAGGCCCGGCACGACACAGTTTGTGGGAGTTTTCTCGAGGCGACCTACACACCACAAACCTTCGTGTCCCATGTCAACTACGGAATTCTAAACTATGACAATTGGGAGTACTGCGACTGGGTGATAAACGCTTCGTTGGGGTTTAAAGTGGAGCTTAATTTTCAGACTTTTAACCTAGAGTACCAAAAAGACTGCGAGTACGACTATGTAATGGTTTACGATGGAGTCAACGACTCAGGTCCCGTGCTAGGAACGTTTTGTGGAAACAAGTTACCAGGTCGAATAATATCTGAGTCGCCTAGTCTCCTAGTCAGATTTACCACTGACAACACGATAAACAAAAAAGGCTTTACTTTGCAATTTATAAAAGTGGAGAACACACTGAAATGAATTGATTTTTTTTATTAGCGCAAACATTGTGTGCACATTTTTTAAGTATGTTTTAATCAAAGTTATTGAAAACTTGAACAGTTAAATTCAACCTAAACATGTATTTCTTGCAAATGCTTATCCATCATAATCCATGTTTCTAAAAATATGTATTTACAAAAAAAACGATGATGTGTATTGAGGTCGTGAGAAAAGAATTAACTAAATTTGTGTGATAAAATTGTGAAAATAATACGTTTCATCAAGTAAGAACGTTTAATTATTTATAATTAAATATTAAGTGTAATATTTACATGGCTTCTTATTTATTTTAAGTTTTTAATTGTAACAGAATTTAAATGAAAGGGGAAAAAAAATATTTTCACGTCTGTTATTATAACTTTGAAATGCTATTATATGTGATATTTAAAACTTTGTAATCTGAAGATGCTCATGTGGACAAAGTCACATGCTTAATTTCAGTTGTCTAGAATACCGCGAAAAAAATTCTGGTAGTAATGTGTTCAAAAAAGATTGTGCTATACCCCTGCAATAAAATATTGTTCAATGTCTCGGTTAATAGATTCAATACAACGATTGTATCCTACTGGCTGAACTGAATTGTATCCACACACAAAAAATAAAAAAATAATGGCAAAGCCATCGCGTGAAATCTCTATCACCTGGTGTGGCAGTGTGCATCAGATATTTAATCGACGTAGACTTGCCATGGGATATCTAAGGGACACAATTTGTGACGTGGTAGGTTTGGGTTAAATTATTAACCTTGGGTGCAGGTTGGCACACTGCAGAAATGTTCCATGAGGGATTTCCAAAAATCACACGTCAGCTCCGACTACTTCAAAATATCTTTTATGACCTTTGTTAATTAAGTAAGAGACTTAAATTAAGAATAATGAATGCAGTGCTGGCCGAAAAAAAAAAGCATACTAGCTATTACTAACGCCCAATGTATTATTTTGTGATACAAAAAAAAACAGAGTATTCGACTTTATTGCCTCAGTGTTCTTTAGACTGGTACAATTCAACGATTTCTCAACATTGCATGTCTTTCAGATGTCGGAAACACGAAGCCCATTGAAATGATATTTCTTCATGTCTACACCAACACGATTCCTATTAATAACAATGTTCTCTTAATGCGCTATGATAAGAGCCAAATGTATTATTTTGTGATACAACTTTTTTTTGTTAGTAAATGTTATTGTGATTTTCTAGATTAGTGTTTTCATAAAACGAAGTTAGTATTGAAAGTTACTATTTTTAGATATATGCTGGAATACGTATAATGTAATAAATTAAGAAACTCGCTGGAAAATGCCTACGGTGGAAATTCGGACAGAGACATCATCTGTTCTAATACACCGTCTTTAAAGCAAAATTCGATTAAGTTTTTTCCATAGAAATAAATTTTAATAAACTTAATCATTAACAGGCTTACAAATACGGGATTTTTAAAAAAACATTTTAAAGTTGTATTCTATAATTCAAAATATCTCTTTTTTGACCGCACTAGCAGCCCCTCAATGTCTTAAAAAACTTAAATTTATCACGTTACCCTCTGCTCAGTTTAAAGTATTCAAAATTCGGCACATAAGATCTTGTGTTTTGGCCAACAAATCACTGAGCAAATGCCTGGTGCCTTATCCTAAGAAAATAAACGTCTCGCTTACACTGTCTACACACTAGCTTCCATTAATCTATCTGACAAAAGTTGTTTTTTCTTCTATTTTCTCTATCATTTTAGATTTTGCTCTGTTAAAAATGCCTCTTCCCACTTTTTACCTTTTTTTAAAACACATCATTCGACTTTATTGCCTCAGTATTCTTTAGACTGGTACAATTCAACGATTTCTCAACATTGCATGTCTTTCAGATGTCGGCAACACGAAGCCCATTGCAATGATATTTCTTTATGTCTACACCCACACGATTCTTATTAATAACAATAATCTCCTAATGCGCTATAAAATGAGCTGAAAAAAAATGGTTGAATTAACCACGCTAAAGCAATACTGAGCATGTGTGGTTGGTCGAATTAACCACGCCAAAGCAGTACTGAGCATGTGTGGTAGGTTGAATTAACCACGCCAAAGCAGTACTGAGCATGTGTGGTTGGTTGAATTAACCACGCCAAAGCAGTACTGAGCATGTGTGGTTGGTCGAATTAACCACGCCAAAGCAGTACTGAGCATGTATGGTTGGTCGAATTAACCACGCCAAAGCAGTACTGAGGATGTGTGGTTGGTTGAATTAACCACGCCAAAGCAGTACTGAGCATGTGTGGTTGGTCGAATTAACCACGCCAAAGCAGTACTTAGCATGTGTGTTTGGTTGAATTAGCCACGCCAAAGCAGTACTGAGCATGTGTGGTTGGTTGAATTAAACACGCCAAAGCAGTACTGAGCATTTGTGGTTGGTTTAATTAACCACGCCAAAGCAGTACTTAGCATGTGTGTTTGGTTGAATTAACCACGCTAAAGCAGTACTTAGCATGTGTGGTTGGTTGAATTAACCACGCTAAAGCAGTGCTGAGGATTTGTGGTGGGTTGAAAAGAAGTTTGCGAACGTTCGTTCACAAACCAAACTATCCTTCGTTTATTCGAGTCAAAAATTGTGTTCTGTAACCGAATTTGTTCGTTAAACGAAACGTTCGTTATACTAGGTTACACTGCATATAAAAAATAAATTTTAAAGTTTCTTAGCAGTAATGTAAATTGACCAATAATATTCAAATTGATTTAATCATCGTTTTTAACATGGCAATGGTCTAATTCTACGCATTTTCCAGAAATTATTATTATTTTTTTTTAAAGTTACATTTGATTTCATTAAAAAAATAATAATCTCGAGATGCGTTTGTGTGAAACGTCATTTAAAATGCTATACTAAATTATGCACTTCTGTTCTTTTGTGGGATATTTTGTAGGAGATGTAGTAGATATTATGATCGTCTATGTGGTTTAGATTTTTTTTTGGACACTTTAAGGTCTTTTAACATGTAAATATGTGATTTAAAATAAAAAATAAATTAAATGATATAGTTACAAAATAGTGGTGTGTTACGAATGTCGATTATGAATGATCCCACAATTTACTTAATTATGGGACTACATGTCTTTGTCATTTTAGTTAGCCATGAAAGGAAGGTAGAAAGAACTGACTGAGATATACTCGATTTAAATCAACAACTTCATTTTTTTTCTTTGGGATCGCCAGATGTGTGGAGAGAGGGATCTGCTGCCTGGAGATTTAAGTTCACGTGTCCCTCTGTGTCACATTTTTTTTTATACTTTATAAATCTATGAACTGACGAAGTGATTTTTTGGTTTTAGAAATCCACCTCTAAATCGGATTCCTGTTTTTACATTCAAGGCTCAAGTACTTGCAAGAACACACACGTGTGGCGTTCCCATTATTTATTTATTTTATCTAAGAAATAAACAGAGCCTATATATTTAATTCGGTGTGTGTCGATGGGGGGGGGGGGGTTGTATCGCGTTCTTGGGTGAGTTCCACTCGTTTTCCCCCAAAGGAGTTCACGCCTATGTGCATATCATATCAGCAAAGTCTACTTCAACACTCAACGTATCCCATGTATATGTACTAGTCCCTTGACACAACTACACCAGTTGATAGAATCTAGAGGTGAAACATCAGCATTTAGAAATGCCATGCCCTTATTATGTTTCACAGGGGCGTAGCTAGTGTTAGTGCCAAGATCCAGCCCCCCCCCTCCCTTTTACACATTTCATCAAAAAAAAATATGCTTTTGTCTCAAAGGATGCCTTCAATTTGAAGAAAATGTTACCGCGTGTGGCCAACAATCCTCTCTGCCCCCATTCATACGCAACTCGTGCTTTCAGGTTCCAGTGCAGCGCATCCTTGTTCAGCCGGGAATCGTACTATTCTATTTGGTCTTTTTTGTATTATCTTGCAATAGTGTATGGAGAACATTGGAAGTGTCCGATCCATTATTACAAGTGTAAACGTTTTAAAAGTCTTGTTTTGAAGTCGATCTGGCGGACAGAAAGAGAGTGAAAGGGAGAAAATGATAGATAGAAAAAGAGAGAGAGGGGGGAGAGAGAGAGAGAGAGAGAGAGACGGGGGAATGTATTGAAAGGAACAATAAAATGCCAGTGAAACATTCGACTAAATTTACTGATAAGAATTTTTGAACCTGTTAATATCTGCACATTTTCTCACATCTTCGAGAGAGAGAGAGAGAGAGACGGGGGAATGTATTGAAAGGAACAATAAAATGCCAGTGAAACATTCGACTAAATTTACTGATAAGAATTTTTGAACCTGTTAATATCTGCACATTTTCTCACATCTTCGAAACTATCTGGACATAGTCACTCCCAATATGTTTCTCTGGGACATTTTTCAAATTAGATTTTGAACATTGTGTAGCGGCCATGTTAGCAAGCCTAGACTCATTATAGCAACGGGTTTTATATAGTTTCGGAAATGATGAAAAGCAATATATGCTATATGGGATTATGACTATATAAATAGCTCAATTTTAACATACAATTTTTTTTAAGGTACACTATTTTGTACCACAATCGTCCTTTGAGAATTAAGTTTTTAAAAAAACATTTGTTTGAAGACTTAATACTGTATGAACGTCGAGCCTTGAGAGAACCAGATATGTAGCAGTTGTTTAGGAAGGAATGTAGGCAGTGGTGTTCACGTAGCGTTGAGCCTTGAGAGAACCAGATATGTAGCAGTTATTTAGGAAGGAAAGTAAGCAGGGGTGTTCACGTAAAGTCGCACCTTCTTTTTAATTTTGTTTTGAAACAGGGCTTGCATTTGGAAGGAGCAGGAAAATCTTGAATTAAGGAATAAAGAAAGTTTAGAGGAAGACCTTAACAGTGACAACACAAGAAAGTGGAAGTTCTGGCTAAATGAAGTAAAATGACGGCAAACAAACACGATGACAAACACTCTTTATTTTCTGTTAAGTTCTGTCGTTGGCAGAAACGTGTAAATAATAATCCTTTTTTTTTAAGGGGGTTGCATTTTTTATTTTTCCTTTATTTTGTATTTCCTAAAGCGCTGCTGTGCAGTTATCATTGTATACTTCGGCGTAAGCGCCTACTCAACTTTGAAGTTAAGGGTCGTGGTTAACCATCTGAGTCGTGGGTGAAAACTAAACTGGTAGACGNACCGTTTCCAGCAGATTTCTTTGTTTTCACGCGTTGCCAGTAGGTGCGTGACTGCTACAAGAATGTATCGGCATGTTCACTTGTCATCTCTTTCTTCTCCAACTTTTTGTCATGGTCAAACTACGGTTCGCGGTCCAGAAGCAGATTGTCGAGGGGTCCTTAACCCGGCATATTTGACTGTCTTACTGGCACCCTGGTAGCAATGACAATAACAAAGTTAAACCGGGCAATTGGCCAAAATAAGCTCAAACTTACCATTGACGTACTAAAAAGCTTTATGTTTATTGACGGATATTTTTTTTTCAATGTAATTATTGCACTGCTTCATCCTGTTTCTTTATTATTCTTTTTTTTTTATTTCTTTCTGTTCACTACAAAATGCGAAATATGCAGTTGGTTTAGGAATACGTTAAAACTTTAGATTGGAACAGAAGCTGAGGGACAGTGGAGCCAGCCCTTGACTAAAAAAGGGCCCCCGAGTCTGTGTTTTCAATCAGACTTACCAAGGTGGAAAAATAAAACTATTCATAAAGTATACACGTTTACATGGGGAACAAAATTATGTTTTAGTTAAAATGCCGTTAGACAATTAAGCTTCAAAAACAAATGATATCGTTTTTTTTTTTTTTAAATTTGTAATAGTTCTCTGGGAACTTACTTCAAATAAGCATGATCATTAAATTTGTCAACATAATATTTTTAATGAACGCGTTTCAGATTTTAAGAACCGCGATAAAAATATTCCCGGCCTGTTGGAAAATACCAAAACGGCGTCATTGAGTTAGAAGAGGTAACTCTTTGAATGAATCGAGCTATTCCCCTAAGGATGTCTGTTTTTTCACAGGCGTGTCGGTGCTCTCGTGATCAAATCAAACAGTGGGTTGCGTCTATTCTTCTGTTGGTCGGATTATGAGTCTCATAACGTGTGTCTTATTTATTAACTTAAAATAGGTAAGAATATGTTGGTGCTTTTTATTTGTATAATTTTTTTTTTTGTTGTAATATGAAGGAGTTGCATTTGTAAACGCAAAATAATGTTTCTGTAGTAAGACGGCTGTCATTTATCATTTGATAATAATTGAAAATATTTATAATCCTTATCACAAAAATCAATAGTCACAATTGCTTCCTAGCATTTTTCAATTCTCATTTAATTTGAGAATGATGGCAATCAATCATGACTTATGGAAAATTTCTCTATCTTTTAGGCTTATGTTTGGTGTTTATCATTCCTAATTGTCAATGTCTAATGGCGTAATGTAGATAAGACACAAATCTGGTGTCATAGAAGAAATAAAAACTCAGTGAAGCAAAGCCAAAAACTAAAGTAATATAAATTTTGAAACCAATATTAGTATATGCTATTTATTTTTTTATTCATGCCTATACATATATATATATATACATATATATATATTTATATATATAATATATATATTTATATATATATGTGTGTTTATTTACATATATATAATTTAAAATTTAGCCATTGCAATAAGGGAAAAAAATATGCTTGTAATAACGTAGGCATCTATCATTAATTAAATGAATAATTAAAAGAGGACACATGACACAAATCCAATTGTTGATAAGAATGCATATGCAAGAAAAACACATATGTTGAAAAAAACAAGCAATATGGACTGGTCTGTAAACACAGGGAAGCATTATATAATACAAACTCATACTTTAGCCTGGTTTGTTTGTTAATCAAAGGAGAAGATCAATACAGAATATTCAATGTTCGCATGTTAGCACTGATTCCATGCTTTTTCTTTGACACTGGCACATCCATCGTTGAGACGGTGTGCTTTGTGTTGAAAATAAGACAAGTAAGAAAGGAGATCTATTAGACCTGTCTTTGCAATGCGTTCATTCTACGTTAGAGTTAACTAACCGATAGTGAAAGGCGCCACGATCCCCCGCCAGGAGATGTATTTCTCACCTGGCATGTCTGTCTTTCTGGCGGATTTTTTGTTTTGTTTTTTTTATTTGCAACGGTTCCCACACTATGTGTAAACTGGGACTATCTTAATTTAAACGTACAAAAGGATAACCAAAATAAGAAATATATAATTGCATAGAAATAAGATTTAGTTTTCATCACATCTCTTAAATCTCAATTACTGTAATAATGTTATAACATGTCCTTTCAGTTCAAAATCTTATGAATAAATCTTTCACAACACAAATATTATTTTTTATCATAGCTTCTCTTCTCATCGAACTTTTTTTGTCACCTTTTAAACACAATGATTGGCTACTCTTATAAGTCCCAACACAGTTTTGAATGAACAGGGAATATTATTTATTACCTGGTGTATTTGTAATGATTAAAATGTATTTTTGTAGTATACTTATTTGCTTCCGTCTGATTTCTTTAGTAATATCCTCAGATTTGATGATGCCTAAATTTAACATAGGCATTTTGAATTCTTCATCTTCTTCTGGTTTTTATATTTTCAATGTTATTTATGGGGTTTTCATTATTAAATAAGGACAATTCTTCGCCCTTAATAAACTACTTCTAAAATGCTTTGTATAGATTTAGACTAGGTGTTCATAAAAGTTTCCTTTTAAATCAACGTAAAATAGCTTTTTGTTCATTGACACTTATTATGTAATCTAATTACTGAAATATCTACCACAAGTTGTTAGACTTGTCATGCTTTTTTCAAATCCTTCTTTCTGTTGTAGAAAAACTAATACTTTGTCTTGAGGTGATAGTTCTCTTAAAAGATATGTTTCTGTCGACTATATCTCTATATTTACTTTTTTTATTGTGTACGTTTTTCTTAGCATACTTCACAACATACATAATCTCTTATCTTGTCTTGGCTATCAGATCAAAGGAAGAAAAACGTATTCCTTTATTCAGTAACAATCTCTTATGTAATATTTCTAATGGATTTCTAGGATTAGTTTCAAAGAAAAGCTCAAATGTAGGACGCATGTTGCTTCATGTGGTATTTATCTGTAGGCAAAAAGCACTAAGGGTAAAAAAGTTGCCACCATCCTTGTTTATAAATTTGAATTTTCATTAACATTATCTTAATTTCTTGGTGACTGGTTTGCCCAATGGTCTAAACTGAGCAAACCTCCAGCTGGTGGTTAAATTCCAGCCAAAGGTCAGTCAAGCAAAAGAATCACCCCGTGTGGCTGAGACTGGTTTACCTTGGTTGGCAACTCATCTAAGAGAAGGAAACTGTGAATTCAAACCTGGAGTTGGAGCCCCGTAACGCGCGTATAACGACAATTCCTGCAACAGCACCTATCATTAGTCGTCTTGAAGTAGAGTCTTGCCACTGGATATGGTGGGCCCGGATGAGAGAGTGAGGTTGACGCCACGCAACTCTTCCTCACTTTAAACAAAAGTCACCCGCGCAAGTCACTCGATGGTCCTCGTCGATCTTTGACGGACGAACAATAAAATAATTGGTTGGTTAGCTCTTTAAACTACACATTTCCTTTTTCGTCTTCAACTAGCTCAGGAGTCGCCCAAACGTTTTCACGGAAGGCAGGATAACTTAGAAAATAACGAGCGCGGGCTCTGTAATAATTATGTATAAGACTTGCAAGCCAGAACGAAAGCTCTGGGGGAAAAGACGAAAAAACTAAGTTTAGTGTTTCATGTTCATCATGGCTGAGTGGTGTGCAAGGCATCAAAACAAAAACAACCAAAAAAATATAATTACTAAAAAAAAATTACAAAGAAAGGTGACGTTAGCTAAGAAGATAGTTACCTCAGACCTAGAGCGCACATATACGAATCTCACAATCTAAGCAGCTAAAATATTGGGGACATTTCTTCTTCTTCTTCTTCGACTTTATTTTTGGGGCCCACCATCAATGAATTGATCATTCTGACGTTTGCCTTTCAAGTTATGATTATTTTTTTTGATTGCAATCCCTGCATCCAATCAAGAGGATTGCTTTCAAATATTCATCAGCCAATCTCTTTCGAGGTGTTAACTTCACATATTTCAGCTTTGAACATTTTTTAAGATCTGAAAATCTCTCCAAAAAATTGCTTCTTCAAGTGGCGATTAACTTTTTTAGGAAAATCATCTTCGTCAATTGTAGCGCAAATCTTGAGGAAGCAGTGAAAATGAGAAAATGTTTCTTCTTCAATTCGTACTTCAATGACAGACTTCTCCAAAATCCTTTGGTGATTTTGTATAGATGACAGATAAGGTTATCCTTTACCTAGACATTCAAGTTCTCATCTCCTCACATTTTAACATAATTTTAACATTGTACCACAACGTTTCATATTTGATACGTTGTATCAAGCCATTTTAAGTACAGTCGGTGGCTCGGATGAACTGACGTCACGGGCTAGATCAGTCCCACGGGCTGTAGTTTGGTGATCCCTGATTTATAGCAATTGGATTAAATCTTTATATGAATTCTTCTATGTTTTCGAAGCCATTCAATTTGCTCATTGTAATTTCATTGATGCTGGCATCATGTTTTTCTCCTATATGATACGCTTGACTGACATCTCTTTTTTTTTTGACTGGAATGAAGTATGAAGTTAAATTTTTGTTTTCTCTTTAAACACTGTTTAAGTAAAATTTATGAATTTATGAACACGCGGAATATGAAAAAAAAGATTATATCATCCATCCGTCACAATGTGTCGATGGTGTAGACTTCCTAGGACGAAACCAAAAGGCGTGGGGATGTTTTCTTTAGGAGGTTAAGCTGGCTCCATAGACAACACAACGGCTTCTTCACGTACCTGGATACCACAGTGGGAAGATAACAAGCGGTTGATACAGTTTGAAAATAGTTCAACTTTCAGGTCGTTTCTGTAACTGTTTGCAATCTGCACTCTGCTTCAAAAATTCTTTTTAAAAATACGAAAGTTTGTCTTTTTATATTGAAAAAATTATGTTTAATGCGAGTTCTTTTTTTTTTCTCATCGATCTCGTGACATTTACTTCTATAGGTGTTGTGTTATTCGTTTTATTAGCTCATTATAATCTCCTTATTTTAATGATTGAGCTCATCTAGTAACGAGTTCATCTCTCTTGTCTTCCTTTTCTCGATCATTCCTCTCTATTCCGTTTTTTTTTCTTCTTGTTTTCGTTTAGCTTTTTCTTTTTCAACATATGTCTTTAATTCACCCCTCCTTTCTAAGCCCACGACTTTGCTAATCTCTATCACGTCAGTGGGAAATTCTTTTTTTTTTCAAACTTAAGCTTTCCCGTATGTGATGTTGCACTGACATTATATTGTATTATGTGTTTAAGTTATATAATTAAAACAAGCCATTCAGTTTTTTAAAATCAAATGAAAAAAAAAAAAAACAATGCACACGAGAGAGGGTATACATGCATATAAGTTAAAAATTCTAAATGAAAAGCGAATGAATTAACAGTGATGTTTGTAAACAATAACATATATCACACTCGAAGAACTAGATCAAAACAAGACACTATTTGTGAAAGATTGATAGGAGAAGCAACAACAGGAATCAGGACAAGTAATAGACGCCAAAGCCGATTGTTGATGAATGATAAAACAGTCATGAATGATTAAAATACTATAATTTGCACGTAGGCTAAATAGAAATAATAAAATATTAATAATTTTTTATATATTTATTACAATAAGTTTGTTTAATTAATTATCAGCAATAAGCGTGGTGGAAGATTTAATTTGAAAAAAAAAACGACCTTTCGATATACACTGATGAGAAAAATTGAGAACGCTTCCACACATGTAATAACTGCTTCAAAGTTTCTAAGAAACGACTTATCTTATCACAATGAAATGTAGCAGAAATATATCACAGTCACAAATTCTTGACTGTGTTTCTTCTTTAACGTGGCCATAGACAGAACGTTGTTCATAATGACAAGTTTAAGTAAGCAATAATTTTCAATACACCTGTAAGTGTCTTTTTAAAGTTGCTGAAATATCATTGTTATGTGTATTCATTAAATAATACATTTATATTTTATTTTAAGTTCCATAACTCAATACGTCACAGAGAAAATAAACAAATCTATTTACAATTGTATTTGATTAAGAAGAGTAATTTAAATTGGTTTACACAAACAGGTAAGCTGTCTCTGCTTAACAATCACACCAGGAGAAAAATGTCTCAAATAATTTTTGTTATCTTATATTACAGATAATCAGGTGATCCAGTTACACCAGTTCTCTTCAAATCCTATAAATATAAAAGATACAGAAAATTGTATCTGATGGATCTTGCAACAATGATTGTGCTTTCGAAATCGAACAGGCATTTGTCTAGGATAGAGAAAGAAACATTTCAGTATTTTTATTTCATAAAGTGGCTTTTCCTATTGATCGCTATTGGCGTTTCTAACTCAAATGCATCATTTCTTCAAAAATTCTCAACACGAAACTTTCAGCAGCCCTCTCTATACAACACTGCTTCAATAGAAAGAAGAGACAATTTTAACGTTCATCTAGAAAAAGACGTGGACAGTTTAGGAAAAGAAATTGCTAATCAAAGAGCAACATATGATAAACAAAATGTGTCATACAACTTGTGCAAGAAAATGCATGATATAAAATGTCATGAAAGTGTGTTTAGACGCAACCTGCAGGTAACAAGACAGAAGGCGAGCGCTCTTCATAAACTAAGGAGACGCCTTTTCACGCTCGGTCCGGCGAATTCTGAGGTCGCCAAAAAGAAGCCAATTAAACAAAGCGTTAAATCATCATCAAAACCGCGTACAAGAAGACGATCCAAACTCAACCGAAACAAAAGGGCCGCAACGGCCAATGAGTCCTTGCTTTGGGAACATGCAACGATCCCTTACGTATTCGACACCGTATTCTCTGGAGAGGACAAATTAAAAATAATGCTGGCCATGAGCATGTGGGAAAACGCTACTTGCGTTATTTTCAAAGAAAGAGAAGCGTCCGACAAGGACTATTTTGTGTTGACCGTTAAAGACTGCGGTTGTTGCGCTGATGTCGGACGAAAAGAAAACGGCTCGTCAGTTTCTCTTGCCAAAGATTGCATGATCACAGGTATCATTCTGCATGAACTGGGCCACATTATTGGATTTTGGCATGAGCATTCGAGACCCGATAGGGATGAATATGTTGATGTGTTTCTGAAACACGCCATTAAGGACAAGGTAGAAAATTTTAAAAAGAAGGAACCAAATGAAATCAATTCACTTAATGAAACGTATGACTTTGACAGCATCATGCACTACGGCCGAACCAAATGGACTCGCAACCCTTACTGGGACACAATATTCCCCAAGCTTCTTAACGGATCAGCCCTGAGACCCGACATAGGGCAAAGATCTAAACTAAGTCCAGGAGACATTCGCCAAACGAACAAGCTCTACAAGTGTGCCTCGTGTGGGCGGACGTTCCAAGAAGAGACTGCGACCTTCAGTCACAAGCCGACTGCTGGCAAATCAGAAACGTGTCACTGGCGTATACGAGCGGCCTACGGGGAGAGGATCGTGCTCAACATCACCGCACTCGGAATCCCGAGATCGGCAAACTGTGTCAACGGTCACGTCGAGGTGAGAGATGGCCCTAACTCTCAGTCACCTCAAATAGGACGCTTTTGTGGGGAGGATTTGCCTGGTCCTTTAAAATCCTCTGGACGAAGAATGTGGCTTGAATACAAAACTTTGCGCGGAGACGGCTCTGGATTTACTGCACGTTACGTTACAGAGTGCGGAGGTGAAATAAGCAGTGGGGAAGGTGTCCTCGCAAGTCCGACCTATAATGATAAATATCTTCCTAACCTTGATTGCTCGTGGACTATCAAAGTAGACCCGGGATACCTCATAATTCTGTCCTTTGAATCCTTCGACTTGGAGGATGATCTCAATTGCGCTTTCGATTACCTGGAAATCATGGAAGGATCAAAAGAAACTGATCCCTTAATTGGAAAATATTGCGGTTTGTCTTATCCGAAAAAGATTCAATCAACGGGAAATCAATTATTTATCAGGTTTGTAAGTGACTCTGACACACAGAGAAATGGCTTTTACATTCCATTTGTTAAGGAAATCGACGAATGTAACAATGAGATACACGAGTGTGACCAAGTATGCATCAACACCATAGGGGGTTACAGATGTGAATGCATTCTAGGGTATGAGCTCAAGCCCGACCGCACCAGCTGTGAGAAGGCATGTGGCGGCGTTATTGAGACACCCAACGGGACGATCTCATCGCCATTTTTCCCAGACCCGTATCCCCCGGATAAGACTTGCGAGTGGATCATCGACGCTCCACAAAATCATACGATCGTGCTTACGTTTACGCACTTCGACCTGGAAGCGGGGCAGGGGGACTGCTCATACGATTTCGTAAAGGTGTATCCAGAAGGCGGGGCGAGAAAATATAACAATGTCATGCACTGTGGAGATTCGATACCCACGCCTATAACAGCAAAAGGTAACACGATGAAAATTGAGTTCAAGTCGGACAAATACGATGAGAAATCGGGGTTCTCTGCTTTTTTTGTCTCCGATGTCAACGAATGTGAGAACAAAAATGGCGGCTGCCAGGATATTTGCACGAACACGGTAGGAAGTTATTATTGCTCGTGTCGAAACGGCTACATTCTCCAGTCGGATCAACGTGGTTGTGTTGAGGAATGCTTTTCACAAATCAGTGAACACAATGGCACGATAACCAGTCCGGATTTTCCCGAAGAATACCCGCGAAACACTGAATGTGACTGGCTACTCATTGCACCACTGGGACACAGGATACGTCTTGCCTTCCAATCCCTATCCCTTGAACATCATCAAAGCTGTAACTACGACAGCCTCACCATTTTCGACGGCGACAATAGAAACGCCAGTTTGATTGATCGCTACTGTGGTTCAATTTTTCCGGAACTCGTTATTTCCAGGTCAAACAATATGCTTGTTTCTTTCACGTCTGACTCGTCAGTGCAAAAAAAGGGTTTCGAGGCCCGGCACGACACAGTTTGTGGGAGTTTTCTCGAGGCGACCTACACACCACAAACCATCGTGTCCCATGTCAACTACGGAATTTTAAACTATGACACATGGGAGTACTGCGACTGGGTGATAAACGCATCGTTGGGGTTTAAAGTGGAGCTTAATTTTCAGACTTTTTACCTAGAGTACCAAAAAGACTGCGAGTACGACTATGTAATCGTTTACGATGGAGTCAACGACTCAGGTCCCGTGCTAGGAACGTTTTGTGGAAACAAGTTACCAGGTCGAATAATATCTGAGTCACCTAGTCTCCTAGTCAGATTTACCACTGACAACACGATAAACAAAAAAGGCTTTACTTTGCAATTTATAAAAGTGGAGAACGCACTGAAATGAAGTGATTTTTTTTATTTGCGCATCCATCATAATCCATGTTTCTAAAAATATGTATTTACAAAAAAACGATGATGTGTATTGAGGTCGTGAGAAAAGAATTAACTAAATTTGTGTGATAAAATTGTGAAAATAATACGTTTCATCAAGTAAGAACGTTTAATTATTTATAATTAAATATTAAGTGTAATATTTACATGGCTTCTTATTTATTTTAAGTTTTTAATAGTAACAGAATTTAAATGAAAGGAAAAAAAAATAATTTCATGTCTGTTATTATAACTTTGAAATGCTATTATATGTGATATTTAAAACTTTGTAATCTGAAGATGCTCATGTGGACAAAGTCACATGCTTAATTTCAGTTATCTAGAATACCGCGAAAAAAATTCTGGTAGTAATGTGTTCAAAAAAGATTGTGCTATACCCCTGCAATAAAATATTGTTCAATGTCTCGGTTAATAGATTCAATAAAACGATTGTATCCTACGGGCTGAACTGAATTTTATCCACACACAAAAAATAAAAAATAATGGCAAAGCCATCGCGTGAAATCTCTATCACCTGATGTGGCAGTGTGCATCAGATATTTAATCGACGTAGACTTGCCATGGGATATCTAAGGGACACAATTTGTGACGTGGTAGGTTTGGGTTAAATTATTAACCTTGGGTGCAATGTTGCACACTGCAAAAATGTTCCATGAGGGATTTCCAAAAGTCACGCGTCTGCTCCGACTACTTGAAAAAATCTTTTATGACCTTTGTTAATTAAGTAAGAGACTTAAATTAAGAATAATGAATTCATTGCGGGCCAAAAAAAAAAAAACATACTAGCTACTACTAACGCTAAATGTATTATTTTGTGATACAAAAAAAAACAGAGTATTCGACTTTATTGCCTCAGTGTTCTTTAGACTGGTACAATTCAACGACTTCTCAACATTGCATGTCTTTCAGATGTCGGAAACACGAAGCCCATTGAAATGATATTTCTTTATGTCTACACCAACACGATTCCTATTAATAACAATGTTCTCCTAATGCGCTATAAAAAGGGCTGAAAAAAATAATTGAATTAACCACGCTAAAGCAATACTGAGCATGTGTGGTTGGTCGAATTAACCACGCCAAAGCAGTACTGAGCATGTGTGGTAGGTTTAATTAACCACGCCAAAGCAGTACTGAGCATGTGTGGTTGATTGAATTAACCAAGCGAAAGCAGTACTTAGCATGTGTGGTTTGTTGAATTAACCAAGCGAAAGCAGTACTTAGCATGTGTGGTTGGTTGAATTAACCACACTTAAGCAGTACTGATGATGTTTGGTGGGTTGAAAAGAAGTTTGCGCACGTTCATTCACAAATCAAACTTATCCTTCGTTTATTCGAGTCAAAAATTGCGTTCTGCAACCGAATTTGTTCGTTAAACCAAACGTTCGTTATACTAGGTTACACTGATGTATAAAAAATAAATTTTTAAGTTTCTTAGCAGTAATGTAAGTTGAACAATAATATTCAAATTGATTTAATCATCGTTTTTAACATGGCAATGGTCTACTTCTACGCATTTTCCAGAAATTATTTTTATTTTTTTTTAAAGTTACTTTTGATTTCATTAAAAAAAATAATCTCGAGATGCGTTTGTGTGAAACGTCATTTAAAATGCTATACTAAATTATGCACTTCTGTTCTTTTGTGGGGTATTTTGAAGGAGATGTAGTAGATATTATGATCGTCTATGTGGTTTAGATTTTTTTGGACACTTTAAGGTCTTTTAACATGTAAATATGTGATTTAAAATAAAAAATAAATTAAATGATATAGTTACAAAATAGTGGTGTGTTACGAATGTCGATTATGAATGATCCCACAATTTACTTAATTATGGGACTACATGTCTTTGTCATTTTAGTTAGCCATGAAAGGAAGGTAGAAAGAACTGACTGAGATATACTCGATTTAAATCAACAACTTCATTTTTTTTCTTTGGGATCGCCAGATGTGTTGAGAGAGGGATCTGCTGCCTGGAGATTTAAGTTCACGTGTCCCTCTGTGTCACATTTTTTTTTTATACTTTATAAATCTATGAACTGCCAAAGTGATTTTTTGGTTTTAGAAATCCACCTCTAAATCGGATTCCTGTTTTTACATTCAAGGCTCAAGTACTTGCAAGATCACACACGTGTGGCGTTCCCATTATTTATTTATTTTATCTAAGAAATAAACAGCCTATATATTTAATTCGGTGTGTGTCGATGGGGGGGGGGGGGGNGGGTTGTATCGCGTTCTTGGGTGAGTTCCACTCGTTTTCCCCCAAAGGAGTTCACGCCTATGTGCATATCATATCAGCAAAGTCTACTTCAACACTCAACGTATCCCATGTATATGTACTAGTCCCTTGACACAACTACACCAGTTGATAGAATCTAGAGGTGAAACATCAGCATTTAGAAATGCCATGCCCTTATTATGTTTCACAGGGGCGTAGCTAGTGTTAGTGCCAAGATCCAGCCCCCCCCCCTCCCTTTTACACATTTCATCAAAAAAAAATATGCTTTTGTCTCAAAGGATGCCTTCAATTTGAAGAAAATGTTACAGCGTGTGGCCAACAATCCTCTCTGCCCCCATTCATACGCAACTCGTGTTTCAGGTTCCAGTGCAGCGCATCCTTGTTCAGCCGGGAATCGTACTATTCTATTTGGTCTTTTTTGTTTTATCTTGCAATAGTGTATGGAGAACATTGGAAGTGTCCGATCCATTATTACAAGTGTAAACGTTTTAAATGTCTTGTTTTGAAGTCGATCTGGCGGACAGAAAGAGAGTGAAAGGGAGAAAATGAGAGATAGAAAAAGAGAGAGGGGGGGAGAGAGAGAGAGAGAGACGGGGGAATGTATTGAAAGGAACAATAAAATGCCAGTGAAACATTCGACTAAATTTACTGATAAGAATTTTTGAACCTGTTAATATCTGCACATTTTCTCACATCTTCGAAACTATCTGGACATAGTCACTCCCAATATGTTTCTCTGGGACATTTTTCAAATTAGATTTTGAACATTGTGTAGCGGCCATGTTAGCAAGCCTAGACTCATTATAGCAACGGGTTTTATATAGTTTCGGAAATGATGAAAAGCAATATATGCTATATGGGATTATGACTATATAAATAGCTCAATTTTAACATACAATTTTTTTTAAGGTACACTATTTTGTACCACAATCGTCCTTTGAGAATTAAGTTTTTAAAAAAACATTTGTTTGAAGACTTAATACTGTATGAACGTCGAGCCTTGAGAGAACCAGATATGTAGCAGTTGTTTAGGAAGGAATGTAGGCAGTGGTGTTCACGTAGCGTTGAGCCTTGAGAGAACCAGATATGTAGCAGTTATTTAGGAAGGAAAGTAAGCAGGGGTGTTCACGTAAAGTCGCACCTTCTTTTTAATTTTGTTTTGAAACAGGGCTTGCATTTGGAAGGAGCAGGAAAATCTTGAATTAAGGAATAAAGAAAGTTTAGAGGAAGACCTTAACAGTGACAACACAAGAAAGTGGAAGTTCTGGCTAAATGAAGTAAAATGACGGCAAACAAACACGATGACAAACACTCTTTATTTTCTGTTAAGTTCTGTCGTTGGCAGAAACGTGTAAATAATAATCCTTTTTTTTTAAGGGGGTTGCATTTTTTATTTTTCCTTTATTTTGTATTTCCTAAAGCGCTGCTGTGCAGTTATCATTGTATACTTCGGCGTAAGCGCCTACTCAACTTTGAAGTTAAGGGTCGTGGTTAACCATCTGAGTCGTGGGTGAAAACTAAACTGGTAGACGAGGTCAAACTCTAAGTGATAGGAGAACACTGATAGAATTCAGTAGCGCAGAAGTAAAAGTGTGGAAAGGTTTTGGGGGGGGGGGGGGGGACGGGGTCTTTTTTTTTGTTGCAACCGGCAGGGTTTTGGGGGGGGTTTTTTTGCGGGGGGGACTGGGACTTTTTTGTTGTTGCAAACTGCAGAGTTTTTGGGGGGGTTTCTTTGCAATTTTTTGTTTTAATGAAAGGAGGACGATTACAATTTTGGACAACCAATTTTTTTCTAACCTTAGCTACGGCATTGTCAAATAATTTTCCTTAACTTAATTTATCAGGCAAACAAAATTCCTTTACAAACAAACAAACAAAAAAAGAAGTTAGATAATTCTTTTGTGTATGGTTCATTTGCAAAATAATTAATAAGATTAATATTCTTAAAATGACGCAAGGCTAGCATTGTGTAATTTAATACTCTATAATTAACGATATAAGCTTTCATTATTTAAGTATAAAAAATGAGGATAGATTTAGCTTTAACGCCTTTTTTTAAATTTTAATAAAGCTTTTTTTTAGCTCAGCAGTGAATGTAGAGTTTGTGGTGCATTTTATTCTTGATTGTGTAAGGTGTAAGGTGGAGACCAAAGGGTGTCAGCTTGAATGTGTCAGGTGGAGACCAAAGGGTGTCAGGTTGAATGTTTTAGGTGGAGAGCAAAGGGTGTCAGCTTGAATGTGTCAGACGGAGACAAAAGTGTTTGAGTATTAATGTGCCAGGTGGATACCAAACTGTTTGAGTATGAATGTTTCAGATGGAAACCAAAGGGATTAAGTATTAATGTGTAAGTTGGAGACCAGAGTGTGTCAGCTTAAAAGTGTCAGGTGGAGATCAAAGGGTGTCAGCTTGAATGTGTAAGGTGAGACCAAAGGGTGTCAGCTTGAATGTTTGAGGTGTTAGTTTGAATGTATCAGATGGAGACCTAAGGGTGTGAGCATAAATGTAGTCAACGAGATATGACGCCTACTATTCATCAAATATGTCAGGAGTATTTTGTTTCTAGTTATAGACACACGCCAATGGCCCAACACGTAGTTCATTATAAATAGATAACATGACTTAATACAATATTTTTATTCATGCAAACAGAATTATGCATGAAAGAGTTAGAAATTATTTTAATTTTTATATGTCAATAATATGTTATTGTAGAATAATGGTTACACACATTTTTTCTTGTAGTCCTTTAGCAGTCTTCGGGTCTTATTGCGTTTTGATTTCTTTCGAAACCAATTAAAATGGTTGCCTCAGTCTTCCAATATCAATCAAAAGTGTATTGTATAGTCAGCTTTCCTGTGTTGAAGAACTGGTTAAAGTTTCTATTACGAATGTCAAGGTGACATGAATAACATTGAAGCTGGGAAACATTTCCTAAACCAAAATTTTTCTTCAGATCTATGATACGCCCTTAATCCCTGTATGGGAAAAGCAAAGGTTAGCACATTGGGTCACAGAGTATGGATATGATGGATATGTCTTTGTGAAATTAATCTTTTCAACAAAAAAAAAAAAAAAGAATTGTAATGTTCGGAATTTCTGTGGGTGAACCAACTGCACTGTGAAAACGTCAGCAATTTCTCGTCTCTCAGTGGAACGTGGGTTCTGCCGGGATGCACATTATTTACTCGTTATTTATACAGCTGTATAAAAATTCGCATTGTGGCGTGCATTACGTTGGAGGTCAACATTGCACAACGGTTGGCACTTGAGTCGTGACTCATCTTTAAATCGTCTAATAGGTTGAAAGTCTAAGTGATAGTTGAGACGACATTAACAAATATTTTTTTTTTATTATGCCGTTGTCGAACAAACAAGGCCGTGATTTAAGCACAAAATGAACATAAAAAAAGTGTTTAAAGTCGTTAAATTTATAGTTGAGATTTAACGTCAAGACAAGGCAACTATGGTTAAGTTTACACAATACTACATGCGATATGTTTGTGTCATTTATTAATAAAGAATGAAGGGAACAACAAAAGTAAACAACTCCTACTAAATAGGGTGAGTACTTCGGCTTTTTTTTCCTTTGTAAAGATCGCTGCTTGTGGGACTTGTTTATTATGCAGGCTGTCACGGGTTTTAATTAGGTTAACAGATTTTTGCCTTCGATAATTCAAAGGGTTTTTTTTTAAATAGTCAACGTTAATAAAAAGTTGATTTATTTTAATATCAATCATAAACCATGATGTATTAGATCATTAAATCTTGATCTAGAGAAAGTATTATTAACTACAAACAAAGCAAATTGGTAGATCGTATAATATTTTTATTTTTCATCAATTTAAATATGATCTATTTTATGAAATACAGAACGGAATTTATAAATAGATCAACACGCATATATATATTTTTTTTTTTCATTTCAAGGAAGTCATTGTTGTTTTGATGAGATTTTACTTCGTCACATTAACAAACATATTGGTATCCAGGAGACTTGCACGTATCTCAATTTATAATAGACTTTTCCATATCTGTTTTTAATGAAGAATTTGTTATGTAAGTTTTAATCTTTTTTAACAATTCATTGAATTGGAAAAAAAAAAGAAGTATTCTATTATTACTGATATCAATAATTCAATCCAACAAAATTTGAGCTGACTGAGACCAAAAAATCGATTTAAATTTTAAAAAAACAAACAAATACAAACAAAAAAACTTACCCAAGGAAAAATAGTATATTTGTAAATGTTTATTTATGTTTAAATTGCTGCAAAGAATAAAAGAATACAAAAGTGCAATTATTACTATAATTATTTTTTTGAAAATCAATACACATGAAAAGTTAGCAGTTTAAAAAAATAAATCTCTATTTGACAAGCTCTCTAAACGGTCATATGTTACACGTAATTTTAGAAAAAACTCTTCCGTGTTTTCTTTCTGTCTTATCGTTTCCAACATAAATTAAACGATTTTTTTTTTACAACAGTTTATTTTAAAGCGTTTCTTTGTTAATTTTCTTGACCAAATCAATACTCGTAGAAAGAAATTCATTCTATTCAACTTGACTTTCGCATGACAATAAGAAGGAAAGAAGTACAGTGTTTCTCAAAGAAACGGGCAACACTTCTTTAAAGAGTGCAAACCTAACTTTTTTTTTCCAGGGCAACAAAGTTAATGAGCTAACGCGAGCCTGACCTCTCTGCCTAAGAAACCGTCTTACAGCTCGTTCGTTCTCTGAGGATTTTTGTGTCATGGCGTACAGTTTCCAGCCATTACTATTTGCGTTTCCATGTTGCGAGACGTGCGTGACTACAACAAGAATATATCAGCATGTTTACTTGTAATCTCGTCTGTCTCTCCCGAATTTTTTCCGATGTTCAAACTACGGCCCGCGGGCTAGAATTAGACCGTCAGTGGTCCTTAACCCCCGAACAATAGTGTCTCTTGCTGGTACACGAGCTGCATTGTCGAAAAAATATGTAACGTTATATTGAAAAAAAGCATGCCCATTTCATTTTCAAGTGCTAACAGCTTTATATTTATTGACAAATTTGTTCTACAATTTTTTTATTTTTTTTTAGTTCATTACAAATAATTTGTATGCAGTGCGATAAGGCGGAGCCATTCTTAGGATTTTGGGAGCCCTAGGCATGGAGCGAATGTAAGGAGGCCCTGGAAGGGGGACATCCGGGGGCGGAGTTCACCAGAAGCTGAGGAGAAAAAAACCATCCACCACTGCAACAGCTCTATTCTGCCTTAGTCACTGTGTCCTCTTTGCTCGCATGTAACAACTATCCATATTGATAATTCCGCCACTATAGAACATTTTTACTTCTGAAACATATCAACTTGCAAGTTGTAGGCTGAAATAAAAAAAGCGCCCATTGGGGCCCCTTTGGCAGTGAGTCTCTAGGCGCTCGCCTCTGTTGACTATGCCTAAGAACGGCTCTGGATTAGGAATTCGTTTCTATATATCCATTTTTGTTAAAAATAGACAGGTCCAAAGCAATAGCTGAGTGACCAAAAAAAATATAAAGGTTTCTGGTCTATGTTAAAAAATAATGAGACTAAGTGTGTGTGTGTGTGTGTGTGTGTGTGTGTGTGTGTGTGTCTGTGTGTGTTTGTTAGTGTTAAATACCTTTAGCCTATTGGTTTTATTAATAAATGTCTTATGATTCTAAATTTGTAGTAGTCCTACTGAAAGAATAATTTTAAGTATTATTATTAAAATCATGATAAAAGTGTTTACAATGCTCTTAAACAAATTAAATAATGAGTTTCTGGTTTTAAGAACCGCTCTAAAAAAAATTCACCACCTGGTGGAAAATACCACTAGAGCGTCATTGTGTAAGGGGCGGTAAATCTTTCAATGAATCTAGTTATTCCGCTTAGAATGTCAGATTTCTCACAGATGTGTTGGTACTCTCGACATCAAATCAAACAGCAGTGTGTGCCTTCCATTCTTCTTGTGTTCAGATTATTTCGGTCATAATGTGTGCCTTATTTTTTAACTTCCATTGGTAAGAATCTGTTGATTTTTTTTTTTTTTTCTTTGGTTTGTTTTTTGAGTATATGTTGAATTTGTAAACTTAAGAAAAAAGTTTATGTAAAAAGAACTGTCATTTTTTTTTTTTTTTTAATGTTAGAATTATTTAAAGTTAAAATTATTTTTTATACAATTCAAAATTTTTTAGTCGTTTCAATTTTTTTTTTGTTTTTTTTTTTTCTTGCTTTTTATTTATTTTTTTTTAACTTCCATTGGTAAGAATTTGTTGATTTTTTTTTTTTTTTCTTTGGTTTGTTTTTTGAGTATATGTTGAATTTGTAAACTTAAGAAAAAAGTTTATGTAAAAAGAACTGTCATTTTTTTTTTCTTTTTAATGTCAGAATTATTTAAAGTTAAAATTATTCTTTATACAATTCACAATCTTTTAGTCGTTTCAATTTTATCTTTGTGCTTATCTTTCCTCGCTTTTAATTGCTAATATCTTAATGGTTAGACATGAAAGTGGTGCTTTAAAATAAAAAGAAAATCAATGACGCAAAGCCATTAATTGCAATTTATTTCATGTTCTAGCACTTGAAGTATCTGTAAAAATATTTCCTTCACTCTTTATATTGTACATAGACAGACCGACATACTGACTGATATATAGATGTGTATATAGGTATTTTTTTATGGATTGGTGGGGCGGTGTGTGTGTGAGTGTTTGGGTTGGATGGTGATTGGTTGGATTGTTGGATGGATAGATTGATAGTTTCATAGACTGATTTAAAACTAAATATTACTCTGCATATATGTATTTGCACGTGTTATTCACTGATTGATTTGTTCCGAATATGAACCATGAAAATATGAGAACGTTTAATGGTTACGGTATTTCTAAATGAATGTTCTTACTTTATTTCATTTTCTTTGTTACGTAGTAACAATATTTTTATCTAATAAATGAAAGACAGTTTGAAATTGAAAAATGACTGTAACAGAAGGGAAAAAAAGCTTGAAATTACATAGGGTTCTAGAATTTATACATTAAAGAAATAACATAGAAAATAATGAATAAATTCAATAGTTTATTTAATAATGCAGATACAAGAAAGCACATCTGTTGGATAACATAAACAATCCAGACTCGCCTATAAACACAGAAAACATAAAGAAATACAAACCACCTCAAAGCTGGTGTTGTTTAATGTTAAACACAAGAGGAGTTCAGTCATGTCTTAGCACCGAGTTCATACGCCGCCGAAGCTTGCAAATGCAGCGCTGAGAAGGTTTGCTTAGCGTTGAACAGGAGGCGAGTAAAGAAAGGGGATCTGTTGGATTCTACCCTCGCATCGAGTACAGTCTCCGTTGGAGTTAACTGAACCGGTATTGAAATGTGCCACGATTATCGCCAGGAACTGTGTGTTCTCACCTGGCGTGTCTTTCTGTCTGACGATGCTTTACATTTTTTTTTTCGCAATGGTTCTCACAATATTTGTCTCTCGATGTTTTTTTATTGCTATTTTTATTTTATTTTTTTTTTAGTATTTCTGCAAAAAAATCAGATAAATTCCAATGATTTTTGTAAAATAATCTATTATTATTTCAGTATAAATTAAACCCTTAAACGCTTCATAGATTGTTCAGTCAGGAGTTATTTTAAAAAAATAATTTTTTGATGTAGCTTATTTATTTCATTCAATTCTTATATTTATTTTTTATTACTTAAAACAAAATTCATTGATTGTATGCTAAACAGAATACAAAAATGTTTATGTAAAAAAAAAGGAGAAAAAAGCATAGGAAGCCTTTAATAGATATGTTATGTACAGTTTCCCTATCATCAGTAATAGCCGTAGAAAAACATTTACTGGTAAAATGTCTGAGCTCTGGTAATTCTTTGATGTACACATTTCAGCAACATTGCACACAACTGAGAATCGTTGCACTGTTTCTAAAATACAATAAACCTTTCACAGGGTAATAAATCAGAAAAATATCACACACACACACACATTCTTCGCTTTCCTCGTTGTTGAACTTGGCCGTTGGCGGAGCGCTGTTCACAATGGCATGTATAATTAAGAGCTAATTTCTTAAAGTGAGGTTGGCATTTTAATTGGTCTGCGTTAGGTCACAAAGTTAATGCAACATTTGAAGGAAAGTTGACAAAATCATACATTTAACAGAAGTACTATTCCCTTTTTTTACATTGCATGGATATCAATGTGCATGTAAGTGTCTTATTTAACTTTGCTGAACTTATCTTTTTTGGGTTTTTTTTTTTTTTTTGGTATTTAAAGGTAGATTTATGTTTATATTTAACTTTTTTAAAGTCCTTTCTTTTGATTCATTACAACAAAAATAATAATTAAACCTAATACCTAACGTATTGTGATTAGATTTATTAGCTTCAATACATTTTGTATGTACTAGTAAACAAGCTGTTTCATTATCATATCATTTAATTTTTATTTATTTTTTTGAATATTTTATTTTATATTACAGATAACCGTGTTTTCCCAGTTACAACAGTACACTCCGAGACCTTAAGCTAAAAATATAGAAAATTTATCCTGCTGGATCTTGCCAAGATGATTGTGCTTTCCAAATCAAGAACACACTTGTCCAAGATAGTCAATTATGTTAATGTAGCGTTGCTTTTCAAATTTCTCGTCATTGCAGTGTCTTCCTCAAATGCATCAGTGGCCCAAAACCTCTACAGACAAAACGTTCGGCGGCAGGCCATTAATGCCACGGCTACAATGGAACGTCGAGACGTACTTAACGGTCATCAAGCAAGAGATGGAGACAATACAGGAAAAGAAATTGCTATCGAAAGATCAACAGTCGATCAACAAAATGTATCCTACAGCTCGTTTCAGAAAATGAATTATATCAAACGCCAGGAAAATGTGTTCAGACACAAACTGCAGTTAACGAGACAGAAGGCAAGCGCTATAAAAAGACTAAAGCGGCGCCTTTTTATGCAACGCCCCGAAATCTCGGAGATCAAAGAAATAAAGAAAAACAAAAAACAAGGTAAACTTTTATCAAAACCGCCTGGGCGTAGGCGAAACAAACAAAACAGAAATAAGAGGGCTGCAACGGCCGAAAAGTCCAGGTTCTGGGAACATGCGACGATCCCGTACGTGTTCGAGCCAATATTCTCGGGTGATGACAAGATGAAAATTATAAACGCCATGCGCAGCTGGGAAAACGAAACGTGTGTAACGTTCAAAGAAAAAGAATCGGCTGATAAGGACTATATCGTGTTCACTGTCAGACCGTGTGTCTGTTGCTCGTACGTCGGAAGAAGAGGGGACGGCGCGCAACCGGTTTCCCTGGGCAAGAGGTGCAGGAACACGGGGATCATTCTGCATGAACTGGGCCACGCGATTGGATTTTGGCACGAGCACACGAGGCCCGATAGAGATCAATATGTTGATATTATTCTAGAAAACGTCATTGAGAACAAAGAAGGCAATTTCAATAAGATGAAACCAGAAGAAGTGTTTTCGCTCGAGGAAAAGTATGACTTTGACAGCATCATGCACTATGGCCGAAACACTTTGGCCCGAAACGCATACAAGGACACAATAGTCCCCAAGCGTCTTCCTGGTTCAGCCCAGAGACCTGACATAGGGCAAAGATCTAAACTAAGTCCAGGAGATATTCGACAGACGAACAAGCTCTACAAGTGTGCGTCTTGTGGGCGGACGTTCCAAGAAGAGAGTGCGACATTCAGTCATAAGACAACTGCTGGCAAATCAGAAACGTGTCACTGGCGTATACAAGCGGCCTACGGGCAGAAGATCGTGCTTAATATCACAAAGTTCGGAATTCCGAGATCGGCAGACTGCGTCAACGGTCACCTGGAGGTGAGAGACGGCCCCAACTCTGGGTCACCTCGAATCGGGCGTTTTTGTGGAGAGGATTTGCCCGGAGTGTTGTATTCCTCGGGACGAAGAATGTGGCTTGAATACAAAACATTGCGCGGAGACGGTCTTGGATTTACTGCACGTTACGTTACAGAATGTGGAGGTGGAATAAATAGTGGGGAAGGTGTCATTGCTAGTCCGACCTATGATGATAAATACCTTCCTAATCTTAATTGCTCATGGAATATCACAGTAAAACCCGGGTATACAATAGCTCTGACTTTTGAGTCCTTTGAGTTGGAGAATGATCTCAATTGCACTTTCGATTACCTGGAAATCAGGGAAAGATCAACAGAAACGGATTCTTTGCTTGGCAAATATTGCGGGTTTTCTGATCCAAAAGACATTCAATCAACAGGCAATCAAGTATTTATTAAATTTGTAAGTGACTCGGCAATTCAAAAAAGAGGATTTTTAATTTCATTCGTTCAAGAAATTGACGAGTGTGACAGTGAGATACACGAGTGTGATCAGGTGTGCATCAACACTCTCGGGGGATACAAATGTGATTGCTACGTTGGGTTCGAACTGAAATCTGATGGTGCAAGCTGTGGAAAGGCATGCGGTGGTGTGATTAACACACCCAACGGGACGATCTCATCGCCTTCATTTCCCAAAATGTATCCAGCGAATAAGACTTGCGAGTGGATCATTGACTCTCCAAAAAATCATACAATCGTGCTTACTTTTACGCACTTCGACCTGGAAGCAGGGCAGGGGGATTGCTCATACGATTTCGTAAAGGTGTATCCAGAGGGAGGTGCGAAAAAATATAACAGTGTTATTCACTGTGGAGATTCGATACCCAAGCCAATTAAATCAAAAGGCAACACGATGAAAATTGAGTTCAAGTCTGATAAATACGATGAGAAATCGGGATTCTCCGCTTTTTTTGTCTCCGATATCAATGAATGTGAGAACAAAAATGGTGGCTGCCATGATATTTGCACGAACACGGTAGGAAGTTATTATTGCTCGTGTCAGAACGGTTACATTCTCCAAGATGATAGACGTGGCTGTGTTGAGGGATGCTTTTCACTAATCAGTGAACACAATGGCATGATAACCAGTCCGGATTTCCCCGAAGACTACCCGCGAAACACTGAATGTGACTGGCTACTCACAGCACCACTGGGACACAGGATACGTCTTGGCTTCCAATCCCTATCCCTTGAACATCATCAAAGCTGTAAGTACGACAGCCTCACTATTTTCGACGGCGACAATAGAAACGCCAGTTTGATTGATCGTTACTGTGGTTCAGTTTTCCCGGAACACGTCATTTCCAGGTCTAACAATATGCTTGTTTCTTTCACGTCTGACTCGTCTGAGCAAAGAAAGGGTTTCGAGGCCCGGCACGACACAGTTTGTGGGAGTTTTCTCGAGGCGACCTACACACCACAAACCATCGTGTCCCATGTCAACTACGGAATTTTAAACTATGACAATTGGGAGTACTGCGACTGGGTGATAAACGCATCGTTGGGGTTTAAAGTGGAGCTTATTTTTCGGGCTTTTAACCTAGAGTACCAAAAAGACTGCGAGTACGACTCTGTAACGGTTTACGACGGTTTTAATGACTCGGCCCCTGTGCTGGGCATGTTTTGTGGAAACAAGTTACCAGGTCCAAAGGTATCTGAGTCGTCTAGTCTCCTAGTCAGATTTACCACTGACAACACGATACAAGAAAAAGGTTTTTCTTTTGAATTTAAAAAAGTGATGAAATCCCTAAAGAAAATAGATTATGTTGATTAGCGAAATTATTGTGTGTATAGTTCGTTAAAGAATGTATTAATCTAATTTATTGAAAACTTGAACTGTTAAATACTTCCCAAATATAATTTTTTTGAAAATGCCAAAAAGATTATTGCTTTTTTTTTAAAATCATGTCCAGAAAAGTTGTCTAAATTAGGGTGATAATATTGTGGTAAAAATTGTCAATTTCATCAAGCAGGACAATATAATTATTTTTAAATAAATAATTAAGGAACATTTTTACATCGCATTCTTTAATATAATTTTAATGCTATCAGAATTTTAAAAGAATTACTTGAGTATTATTTTTTCTTTGATTTGCAAAAATATTTACTCACAAAATGCTCAGGTAGACAAATTTATGTGTCTTTTTTTTGCACCAAGGTCTGCGTAAAAAAAAAAAGAAAAAAAGAAAGCTAAAAGATTTAATAAAAAAAATTTTAAAAAAATTACTTTAGTATTATTTTTTCTTTGATTTGCAAAAAAATTTACTCACAAAATGCTCAGGTAGACAAATTTATTTGTCTTTTTTTTGCACCAAGGTCTGCGTAAAAAAAAAAAAAAGAAAAAAAGAAAGCTAAAAGATTTAATAAAAATATTGTAGGCAAGAGTCTGGGCTGAATGGAATCGAAGAAAAATCACTAACTGTACGCATTGCCGCCGTGTTAGATATGCAGGACATAATGCGCAGGGTGCCTCGGATATTTAAGAGGTCCCAGATTTTGACGGATATTTAAGGGATGTAAAGTTGTGACGGACACTGAGATGCTGTCAAAGTTGGGACTTGCTACGAGGAATCAAACTATCAACTTTGAATGCAGGGGACACAAAAAGATTAGAGTTCCAGAAGGTGTTCCAAAAGTCACGCAGATGGCTCAGAGTATGTAACATAATGTTTCCTAACCTTAATTTATTGAGCAACGAAGGTTTTAGTTCAGCCTAACGAATGTATTGCTTGCAGATAAAGTAGCGTAGAAATCCTAACTGGCTTAATAACCTCACCTAATTTACTTCAATAATTAAACTCCAAGAAAAATAAGGAAGTAGTTTATTTTAAGCAGACATCTAATTTTGTTAACTGCGAATACGGTTGCAATTTTCAGTTATTGTTTTAAACGGCTAAATTATTCTTGGACTGACGTCACGTTATATATATATTGGTAGCAATTATTTGCAATTATTTTTTTTTTCGATATGCCTACTTTAAGCAAGACTTGTGAGGCTTAATCAAAGAGAGACTAATTATAATGTATACATTGACTCGCCTTTTTTATTGGCTAATAAAAACTATTACTTAAAACATGTAGCATTTAAACATCGAGCTACTGCGGTGGTTAGTGATACAATTGGAGGGCAAAGATTTTTCTTGCTCATCTCCAAAAAAAAAAAAAAAAAAAGAAGGTAAGAAATACAACAAGCAAAAAAAAAAAAAAAAACCCCCCCCCCCCCTAATGAGTTTTCATTAAAAAATTATATATTTTGCTCTCCATGTTCTAATACTAATGATCTTTTATTGTTCAACTTCATTTCTTAAAAAAAAACTAAAATGTTATCATTAGGATATTATAAAACCTGGAGACAGAAGTAGAACCGAATTCTGCAACTGACAATTTCACATAGAATCTCAGGATAAAGATCCAGGAAAGTGAGAAAGATATCAAAATTGTCTAACATGTAAACAAAGCGGGGAAAAATTTGAATGCTTCTCTAAAGAAAATCCTTAACTTATCATCACACGTAATGAAAGTAAAATTAAACTCCTAATCATCGTTGTAAAGTCTGCAAAGCCAAAAGAAAGATTGAGTTGAAAAGTTTAAAAACCAATTATTATGTTAGGTTAGGGTTAAGCATCAAATTTAATAATCAGAGGGAGCAGATGAACACAAAATCTTTCTGGACAGGTACCACCAACATACTGTTCAATGCATTTAGGATCATAATTAAAAGTTGCCGCTAATGGATATGAGGCGAGAGACTATGGTGGAAGTCTCTGGCCGATGATTCTAGTTACGCAGCCATCAGAAAGCTGCTCCTAGGCACCGTTTTGTCCCAGCTACTTCTTAAACTAGTTGATGGGTGGGAACCCTCTTAGAGGGCGTCCAATGCTTCCTTGGGATGGGTGGGGGAAGATATTAGGACGTAAATTTACCATCCCGACTCCTAGGAAAGTCGATCGTGAGCACTGTGTGTTCGCACAGTGTCGGACCGACCAGGTGTCCTTGGGTTAGGGCGGCCTTCATCGGAACCCGATCGAGCAGACTCGGGTGGGGGCTGTCGTGGTAAAGGGTTATCTCCAACNNNNGGGGGGGGGGGCGCACTGCCAACCCCCCCACCCCCCACCCCCCGAGATATGGCTGAAAGAAACCCTGCTCTCGATGTCTTACAACATTATGACTTCAACTCATTTTGCGAAATGTGTCCAACCGCCCTCTGCTTGCTTGAGGGTCTTTAGCTTCGGCACTTGCACTAATATACTTAGGCCAACAATTCACTGCGCCACTGCTTGGTATTTGTTCTCTTGTTTTGTGGCCACCAAAACACTGTAAAACTGCCTGGTATTCATAACCTCGTGTTTTGGCCACCAAATCACTGTACAACTGCCTGGTATTCATACTCTTATGTCTAGGCCAACAAATTACTGTGCAAACTTCTATTCTTGTCACAACAAATTGTCTCGCTAACACTATGTACAGATTAGACCTAGCTGCTTTCATTCATCCAAACTACCAGCAGTTATTTTTCTAGTGTCTCTACTATTTTAGTATTTTTTTCGGTTAAAACAGTCACTCCTTAAGCCATATCAGTCTCCATTATTGCCTCAGTGTTTTTTAGAATAGTACAAATCGTTGAATGAATAGCTTTGCGATGTCGGAAACATAAAAAAGAAACATTATGTCATAAAATAATGCATTTCCTTACTTCTAAACTAACACATGATTCCAATGATTCTAAAATGATTCAAATTAATAAAAATTTTCTCTTTCTGCGCCATAATTAGAGCTAAATTAACACAAAAAGGGCAAAAGTAACAAGAGGTCGTGTTTTTTTAACACATCACTTGAGCAAACTGAATTCACTTTCAACACGTCAAAGGCTATTGAGTCGGTGGAGTTGTGTCTACAGCAGGGGTGGACAAGAGTGTTTGGCGCCCGGGGACAAGATTCATTTTAAAGTGCCTCCCTTTATTTCAAACCCATTATTTTAATCAATAACATAATATCAAAGCATTTTTGGCGCCCCTAACTAATCTGGAGCCAAGGAACAACTGTCCCCCCCCCCACCTCTTATCTACGTCTCTGGTCTACAGAACTGTACGTATTTTTTATCATAACACAAATTTACGTTCGTTAACCGAAATTGTTTCATGAACAAAGGCGTTCGTTATCAGAGCTTCTGATTTCATTTGTAAAAATGTAAATAATAACGTTTCTTCGCACAGGGAAGAAATGTAAGTTAAGTAAACTGACTTTATCATTTGTGTTTAAGATGTTAGTGGTCTAGTAATATCCTTTTCCAGAAATTCTTAAAGCTTTTAAAATTTAATTTTGATTTCTTTAAGATAATCATAATTTGTGTTTCATCTGCGTGAAACAGCATTAGAAATTGTGTGCTAAATTATATATTTCAGTTACATTGTGGGATGTTTTGAAGAAAATGTTGTAGATATTATTGTTGCCTCGTGGTTTACGTTTTATTAATATAATTTTTGGTAGCTTTAAAGGCGTAAATAAAAATAATTTAAATGGTTTATGCACAAAGTAGTGTTGTGTTATTTATGGCATTAAGAATTATCATAAAATCTTATTATTATTAAAGGGTAATCTGAAATTTTGAAAGAATTTGTTATTATCGGCAGCAAGTCGATGTGCCTAGTTTCAGCTTGATAGCTTGACGGGAAGTGGGTCAACTAGCCGTCTGAATTGTTTGACTTTCAGCCAACTAGCCAGCCACGAACAAATGGGAAGTTAATATAAAGGATTTTTTAATGATTGTGCACATACAAATGGGAAGTTAATATAAAGGATTTTTTAATGATTGTGCACATATCATAATGATTAAGATCGTTATTATAAATTGTATTAATTTTGCTATTGGTGTTTGGTGGCCGAATGGTCTAAACTGAGTATATATCCCAAGCTTGTGTAATGGGGTTCATTCACCTATACACATCAAAAACACCAATAGCCTCCCGGGTGGATGGGACGCGTTTACCTTGGAAGACCGTTCATTTGAGAGATCCGAAAACTCCTGCAACGTGGAAAGCATAGAGACAACAGTAAAAAATAAATTTAAAAAAAGGCTCAACAACCTCTGCTGGTCATCTATTTGCATTCTGGGGCAAGAGACGGTGACAAAACACAGACAAAACACAGACAAAACACAGACAAAACACAGACAAAACACAGACAATACCCAGCTCCTGTTGATCCACACGTAATCAAAATAACGAAAAAATAAAGGAGGGGGGGTGATTGAAATATTTCCTCCTGGTAATTGACGTGTTGATAGAATGTATGTTAGGCAGAATGTAGGTTGGCTTGTTGGTATAGTGCATGTTTGCTGGTCTAGCCTGCAGCTGTAAAGCTCGCAGAGTGTCCCAGGTATTTAAGAAAATGACACTATGGTATGCGTGTCACTGTCAATGTCTTATAGTAATTCAAGATAATTCCACATATATACTAAAATGTATTCAGTGCAGTAAACGTTTAAAAAGATCTTTATTGCGTAATGTTAATTTTGTGACATTACAAAACAAGACATACATGTTTCCAGATCACAGTGTAGCTCTCTCAGATCACAATGAAGCTCTCTCAGATTACACTATAGGCTAATGCAGCTTTCTCAGTCTCTTATAGGCTAATGCAGCTTTCTCAGTCTCTTATAGTCTAATGCAGCTTTCTCAGTCTCTTATAGTCTAATGCAGCGTTCTCAGTCTCTTATAGTCTAATGCAGCTTTCTCAGTCTCTTAACTTATAGTCTATTGCAGCTTTCTCAGTCTCTGTGTAGGCACAAAGGAAGTTGTTCAAGGCAAAGACGTACTTCTCCCATAATTATTTGGTGAGTTTTGCTTATACATTAAAATTTGGAGTATCAAACTTGGTTTATAATTCAAGCAACTTCACAACTTGTGGTGTTTTGGTGGTGTTGTTTTTTTGTTGTTGTTGTTTTTTTTGTTTTTTTATTTAATTTTTTTTTACTCCTTTTTGTTCTTGCTGGTAGGAGTGGAGGGTTGAAAGATTTCATCCTGGGCCATTTCAGCAAATTGTTTGCTTACTATGCTGGGCGAAAACACTCTTATATTTTTCTTTTCCACGTTTATAAGTAGTTTTAAGAAATAGTTTTTTTTTTTGTTTCTATTAAAACAACTTGATCCATCCACCAAAACTACCC